CAGGGAGATACACACAAACTAGTAACCTCCCCATTCCTGACCTTTCCACAGATCCTTGGACCTCTGGACCACGATGACCAGTGTGGGAAACAGAAACTGGCCTACAAACTAGAGCAAGTCATAACCCTCATGAGCTTAGACAGCTGAGAACCATCCTTCCAGGCTGCCCTGGAGGGGGACACACCAAGCCGTGCCTCAGTCTAGATTATCATCTTTACCAAGTGCAAGTTCCAACTGGCATCAGCAGCATCCCCTGAGCAGCGCTGTCTCTCTCTCTCTCTGCCTCTTTCTGTTTCTCCTGCCTTCCTGGGTCTTCCCTCTTTCAGTTGTTCTGCCAACATGATTGGACCAAGCCACTGACCCTCAGTTAGTCCAGGGATGTCCAGGTCCACGGCAAGAGACCTGACCAGAAGATGTCAGAGCACTCTCTCACAGCTGCTCCTGACCCCACATGTCAGTACAGGGCCCAAATACAGATGAGGAGCCGTGGACAGAGGACGTTTCTGTGCTGCTATTTCACCTTCCGCTCTCTCACAGCTGCTCCTGACCCCACATGTCAGTACAGGGCCCAAATACAGATGAGGAGCCATGGACAGAGGACGTTTCTGTGCTGCTATTTCACCTTCCACCTCGACAGCCCCCACTGGGGTCCGAGCCTTGGCCCAGGGAAGAGGCACTGAGCTCAGTATTACCTCCACTGGGAAGACATCAGCTGGCCCTCCCTTCCTGCAGTTCCTTCTCCAAGGTGTCAGTCAGTTGGTGGTCTGGTCACTTTGCAGCTGTGAGAAGAAAGACCAACTCCTACATACGGTAGGAAGGGAATGGATGAGGAGTTGAGAGGAGCTCTTGGGGCTGCCTCTTACCTGTTGGGTTGGCATCCAGGGGCCTCCTATCCCCTTCCAATCTCCTTGGGCCATTCCAAGTGTCCATGGGGACCTTCCTGCCCAGTCTCCTCCCCTGCCTGTGGGAAGCCAGGAAAGAGAAAGAATAACAGGTGTATTCCTTTGTGGGGGTGCCCCTGCCATCTAGTCTGGCTCCTACCAGCCAAGATGTAACACGCAGTGGGAGAAGAGGAAAGAGAGTTGCATCTACCCTGGAAGCAGAATTTGTTGTTTTCCATTCACACCTAAATTCAAATGAGTCACAGCCATAGTGCTAGGTCTAGTGCATTGCCAGAGCCTCGAGCGCTGTCTAGAGAAAGCACCTCCACCCTCCTTCGTCACCCTTCATCGAAGGTCAACATGAAGTGCAGAGTGCATCCAGGAGAGTCTACCTCCAGCCATCTTCAAAGCTCTGTGCCCGTCCTCCTCCCTGAGAACTCCATAGGAGGCTGGGGCAGACGGCCTAGTCCCTGTCCCTCCTGCAGGATCTGGTACCATTGCCATGCAGGTGACTTTGTCACTGGACTGTCCAGACTTCTCGGGAATGATTTTGTTAGCATCTCAGCTGTGGCTCAAGTCTCTGTCCTTCCTCCTCTCTTCAGCAGTCATCACTGAAAGAAACAGCCAACCTCAGCCCCCAGCTTGTCATGTCTGGGAGGGACCAAAGTGTCAGGGTGATGGACCTGGCTGGAAGTGGGAGGAGGGACATGCAACTGACCCTGGCCCTGGCATCCATCTCTCTATCTGTCCTCCACCTGCAGATGTGCCATCTTAGCCAGGCGGGCATATGTGTGCTCAGAAACAGACACGAAGTGAGCAGAGACTGGAGTGAGAGATGGTCCAGCGGAGGGTCCTAGGAGCCTGTAATCTTGAGGGGACCTCAGATGCCATCTGGTCCAGTCTCCCACTGTAAGAAGGAATCTCTCCTGGCAGGTCTGGCCTCTGGGAGACAAGAAGAAGCACCATCCAAAGTGGGGCTGAGGATGAGGATTCCACAGTCTTGCCTTCACCCCGAGCATCAGACATCGCTCTTTGTCATCCATTCAAACTGAGCCCCACGTGGGGAAGGAGCCACACCATTTCCAGTAACATCCACAGAGCATCCTGTACTCTTGGGAACACTAGCCCCTTTGGATACGAATATGTGCACGTGAGTGTGAGCGCATGTGCACAAATGTGCGTGCCGGTGTCTGCCCCAGGAGGAGGCAGAGAGCTCAGAAAGATTCCTTGTCCTCTGCAGAATTTTGAGGTGTTTCCCTTCTCTGTCCCCTTGCTCATCAATTCATCCTGCAGCTTCAGGACATTTTGACGCTTGCTTTCTATGCTGAGAGCTGGTGGGTGCAGGGAGAGGTCACCTATCCATAGGAAATCAGGGTGGTCACCTGCCGAGGCCTGGTCTGAGGTAACCCAGAT